TACTCGGGAGAACCTCATTAAAGAAGTGCGGGGGGAGAGAGTCACACGGGGAGCCAGATGGCTTAGTCTGGAAAACCACATCCTCTAAAAGAGTCAAGGACACAGCTTTGAAAGAATTCAACACAGCTGAACACGGAGAATGGACAGAGGGGTCAAATGTGGTATTTGAAACCTTATCAATGAAAAACTGAAGGAATCTGTTGTACATCTCGAGTGAAGATTCTGAGCCAGTAGGCCGAGGGGGTTTGAGTACAGAATCGATGGTTTTATATAGTATGCGTGGGTTGTGACGTTGAGCCTGAATAAGGTCTGACAAATATTCTCTTTTGGCCTCTTTAACTGTGACCTGGTAGTTATGCCAGCAGTCTTTCCAGATTTGATAAGAGACCTGCAATTTGTCTTTTTTCCACTTACGTTCGGCTTTATAACACCCCTGCCTAGCTGCGCGAGTTTTGTTGTTAAACCAAGGCTCGGGTTTAGGTTTTGGGAGCACAGTTTTGGAAGGAGCCGCCGAATCCAGGATGGCACGGCTGGATGAGTTGAACCAAGAGGTGAGTTCCTCTGTGTTAGATGAGGGTATGCAGTGAGAGGGTTAAAAATTTGGCGGTTGCAACCAGGAGCGGCAGATTTTACAGCAGCACGCGAGAAGACTACGTCACATAAAACTGCCATGTGATCAGAAATCCCATTTTCAAAGACTTCTAAGTTTGACACCGGTAGATCATAAGCAAGGACGAGATCTAAAATATGTCCTTGCTCATGTGTCGGGCTGGTCAGATATTGCACAAAATTAAAAGAGTTGATCAGTCTTAAGTGGTTTTTCGGGACAGCACACATGGATATTAAAATCAGGGTATGATCATATCTAAGCCTAATTTGTGCAAGAAGGGTTGAAAATTCACAGCACACATGGATATTAAAATCCCCCATGAGGAGGGAATGATCATATCTGAGCCTAATTTGTGCAAGAAGGGTTGAAAATTCGCTTAAAAAGTCTTTATTGTATTTAGGACGACGATAAATGACGAGGGCGGTAAATTACAGCGCAGAGCACCGGGAAAACCCAGCCAACTTCAAAGAAGGTTGCTTCAAAGCTGGTGATTGATATGGTGATTCTGAACCGTTTACATTTGAAATTGTTCTTAAAAATACTCCCCCTTCTTCCACCAAGGCCTGAAGTCCTTGGGGAGTCCAGGAATGCACAGTCAGGTGGCAGCAATTCATTACCATCAGTACCTGTCCAAGTCTCCGTCAGGCACAGGAAATCCAAGTCATTGGAAAGGAAAAACTCCCTCAAAATATGGGTCTTGTTCGTCAACGACCGTGGCGTTTGACAACGCAATCCTTGAGGGAGCAGCAACGGGAGGGCGTGCCTCTTCCGATTGCCGAGCTCGGGGAAATTCCCTCAAAAGCTTTATATGGACCCCTTGCCGAAAAATGCGCTGAGGGTAGAAATGCCTTGACGCTGTGGGAGAGCCAAGACTGTTGTCAAGCACGAGGCGACGGGTCGAGGGTACACCATAACTGAGTAGTTCCATTCGGGAATCCCAGGCATGGAAATCTTTTTCATATTATGACTAGGATACCTGTTGTGAATAGCTCAGATCAGCCTCCTCTATTGAAACTCAGACTTATAAATATGAGATGACTTTCCTCGAAAGAGCTGTTAATTAATTACCTAATACGACACCATAATCTTAACATGAGTGATCTTTGTGAGATCTGGTTAAAACCTACCAGCAATGAGTTTTTACAGCTAAACAAGGCCTCTCCTCCAAACCTTGTGAGTTCACATTCCGCACATCCTTGTAAGAAGGGCGGGTGTGAAGCTCTGATTTCTGAATCTCTTCTAAAACGTATTCTTCACTCAAACACCTTTAAAACTTTGCAATCAACAGCCTCAGTGCCGTTTTATTTTGCTCTCTTCTTATTTACCATCCTCCTGGCCCTTACACTGGCTTTTTAGCAGTGGCGATGCTGGACTGTCAAGGAGGGCGAAGCGGAATTCCGGCCTACATCATAAAATATGTCAGTTTATTTATACGTGAATTCTACTCTCCATTCCTTTTCAAGAAAATGATCTGTGCTGTGCTCTGCTAAGATGATTAGAAGAAGTCTCCAGTTCAACTCAGAACAGAATGAGAATTGAAAAATGCTCCCATGGATGCCTACACCAAAAGATCGGTGATTGGCTCATTTCGCTGTCAATCAAAAAGAGATTCAGCCTCAGCCAGATCATTCAATCATCATGCAGAAAAGCCTGGCGTCCGGGCCAGCCGATAAACACCCACTGTCCATAGACTCCCAGAAACGCTGAGTGTTCGATGGGTGGGACAAAACCAGCATTTAACCAATGACTTGTCTCATTTCAATGCATTGGGACAACGGGCTCTGAACTCTCTAGACGCCCAGCGTCCGCGCTGTGGACGCTCAGCGTCCACACAGTTTAAAGCACAGTGAAGCTGCGGGAATGAATGAGAAGAGAGTTGCGTCGTAACCAGTAATTAGAAGCTGATTTGGAACAACAGTTGAGCGCGTTGTAGCGCATATTTAGTCAATGACATGTACACACAATTGTATGTACACACATATATTTGATCACTTATTTTTTTGACATTTTAGGGGAAGCTGAGCTTCCCTTGGAATCTTAGAGTAATTGCCTCTGCTTTTTAGATATATTTTCTGAACTTGTGTATGACTTGGTGACTCACAGAGATAATATACTAATTATGGGGGATTTTAATATTCATATAAACTCCCGTTGGAACAACTTATTGCTGTGTTTCAGAAAATATAGTTTTGGTTTCATGCAGATAATACACGAAGCTACCCATAAAAATAGTAACACTATAGATTTGGTACTAACCCCTGGGTTTAGCAAGCTCAAATATAATGGTTTTACTGTATACCACTGCTATATCTGACACAGCACTTTCCTGGTTTAGTTCTTCGTTCTTAGTTCTTTACTTCTTCTGAGTTTTTTAATGTTACATGTGGAGTCCCACCGGGCTCAGTACTTTGACCCTCTCATTTGGCATCAACAGGCTTCCGCTTGGTGACATCATATGTAAATATTACATTAGTTTTCATTGTTATGGTGATGATACCCGATTTAGTATGCTAGTTAGAAATAACTAATCTGTAATCGGTGCACAGTTGCTGTAATCTAGAGGCATGCCTTGCCAAGATTAAAGAATGGATGTACAGTATTTCGGTTTTAGCATCTTAACCCCAATAAAACCCGAGATGTTGATCCTTGGGCCTGCTTGTCATCGGCATCTATTAAAGGACACTACTCTCAGTCTCTTGGGGGTTGCAAAATCTTGGTGTTATATTGGACTCAACGCGTTCATTTCAAATGCACATTCAAAATATAACTATAACTGCATTTCTTCACCTTCGCAATATCACTAAAATTCATTCCATTTGATCTGCTTGTGACACAGAAATCATAATTCATGCATTTGTGACGTCTCGCCTCGGTTATTGCAATTTATTGCTCTCTGGTCTTCCCATGTCTTGTGGTAAAAAGTCTGCAGTTAGTATGTGTTCTTTTATGTTAAAATGCTGCAGCTAGACTCCCAACAAAGATAAGAAAGTTCGATCAAATAACCCCAATACTAGCCAACTTGCATTGAATTCCGGTCCACTTCAGATGTGATTTCAAAGTTTTGCAACTAACTTATTAACTGACCTACTAAACTAAAATATTTTCCATCTTAGCACTTCCTATCTCGTTGACTTAGTGGTACCGTATGTTTCTCCCCCTAACTCTTGGTTCACAACACGCTGGTCTTTTAGTGATCCAAGACTCAAAAGGAAGTCTGCAAGTTAGAAAGCGTTTTCTATTCCTGTGTTCTAGAATGCCCTACCCACAGAAATCAGTGACGCTACTTCAGTAGAAACGTTTAAAACCAGACTTAAGACTCATTTGGACACTCTTCCATTTAGTTGAATTGCATGTTGGCCTGTTTGATCAACACTTCTTCTGCTTTTCCTTCCCCCTCCTCCTTGGTCTGGGGAGGGGGGTAGCTGATGATGAACAATTGGATGTCGCTATTCGGATTCCGCTTCGACTGATCTGGACATGTTATATTGTTCTAACTGACAATGTATAGCATGATATTGTGTTAAATGTATTTGTCAATTGTGGGCATGTGAAGCCCTTTGAGACTTTTTTATGATTCAGGGTTATTCAAATAAAGTTGACTTGACTTGACAACAAGCCACCAGTGGAAGCAACTCGGAAAGGCTCACGAAAATTTTTACCACAAGCTTCACTCTTTCATCTGTTGGAACATTAAAAAATATACATATAAATATGGTAAAGTGTTGTAAAACACAATATGTCTGTACAGTATTTATTCTATTTTTATGACATGATAGTGGCCTGTGTCTCCCTCACTGATAATTCGGATTTAGGCATGTGCACCAGAGCTCCTTGCCACGTCACTGAAAAGATGCTCAAACCCGAGAGCCAATCAGATAAGAGTCAGATCACAAACCTGCTCAGCCAGCCTTTTGAAACCATCTTGGAGAAGGTTCTGTAAAGCAGTTCCACTGTAACTGCACAGCCTTTCCAAAAGTGTCATGGAAAAGTGACCCAAGTAACAAAATAAGGCACCTCCTCACCTTGACTATATTCGATTGTTCATTATATTTATTTCAAAATGTTTGTTGTTCAGAAACACATTTTAATGTTTGTTTGTTGTAGTTAGTGCAAAGATGCAACTTTTGTGCAGTTTTATGATAAATGTTCAGATGTCTTGTACTCTTGCAGGACTGTAAAGAAAATGTTACAAGGATTCCGCTGTCCTCCTACTTTCTTGCTTTTATTTTGTGCTTTCCAAGATTGATTGATTTTGATAAATCATTGTTAAATAGATTTTTTTTCCTTACTTTTGTTTTGTTGGTAAAATGTATTTTTGAGATGGCTATTGAGATGTCAAGATGCAGATGTTATCTTTTGGGCTGATGATGACCCTCTAATTCTTTGACAGGGCACAGCCAGTGAGGCGACCCTCATGTCCTTGCTTGCTGCCCGTTGTAAAATTGTCCGTCGAGTCCAGTCCATCAACCCAGAAATGTCTGAACCTGAGATTTTCATCAAATTGGTGGCGTACACATCGGAGCAAGTAAGCAAAATATCTTCTGTCGGAAAGCATCTACAAGGGTTTATTCACCAGCCCCATAGACAGTACAAAGCACAATCAAATAAGATCCAATACAAGAACGATGTGAGGACTCAGGCTTTGGAGCCAGAGGTTTTGGGATCCAAGTTATACTGTAGAAAATTTTGGTCAATGGCAACTAAATTGTTGTAGAAATGCTACTCTGCTTGCTAGCTACTGTCGAGGTAGCCATGACAATTGCAATGTTCCCACCCACTCGTTTTCTCTAAGAATCTTTTTGTGCATAATTGAATGTGTTTGATTTGGTTCTCTCCCTCTCTGTCTTCAAATATTTTGATCTATCCAACCATTTTCGAAGCCGCTTAACCTCACATGGGTCATAGGCATACTACCCCAGCTGTCTTCGGGCAGTAGGTGAGGTACACTCTGAACTGGTTGCCAGCCAATCGCAGTGCACACAAACAGCGATTCACAGTCACTGTCACACCTAGGGACAATTTAGAGTGTTCAATTAACCTACCATGCATGTTTTTGGAATAAACCGGAGTACCTGTGGAGGGGAAAACCCACACAGGCACGGGGAGAACAAGCAAACTCCACATAGGAAGGCCGGAGTCCGGAATCAAACCGTGGACCTCTGTACTTTGAGGCGGATGTGCTCATCAGCCATCCATCGTGCCGCCGTATATATCACAATAAACATTGCTGTAACTTGACCGAGATGATCCTATCCTCTCCAAATCTCACTCATTTTATGAAGTCTAGGCCTGAAGACATCTACGAACTTAATTCTCATCATAGTGGTCGTGCCTCTCACTGGCTAAAGGAAATAAATGTTTTATTTTTTCGTTTCGTTTACGTCTTAATAATAATACATTTCATTTATAAGCGCCTTTTAAAACACTCAAGGACACTTTACAATCAAAACAAGAACAATAAAGCCACAGATAAAATTATAAATAATAAAAGGAGAGATGAATTTAAACTGAATTTAGCTACTCGAAATAGTTGACATCGCCGCCGCAAGGAGCACCAGCTGACCCAGCCAGGCCGGCCAACACGCCGTGGTCCGCGGATCGGCCGCCATTTCTGCCGCTGTCTCAGTGTGGCCGGCGGTAGGACGACCAAAGGAGGTGATGCCCCTGGAGCCATCGAGGTGGAAGCCCCGACGACATCCACGGCGGATGCACCTCCGGGAAGGACGAGGAGCGACGCCCGGGAAACGGTGCAGCGCAGGCAGGGAGCCCAACCACCGGAACCACGGGGCGCAGAGGGGCGGAGAAGGCACGGAGCACCGTCCGACAGCCGAACAGGCAGGATGCCGCGACAGCGCGACCGAGGACAACCGTGCGACGACCGACGGTCCAAAACCACAACGAATTGCGACAGGAGATGAAGGTTTCTCCCATGACGAGAGTAAACCGTAAAAAAAACGTAAAACAAACGCTAAAAAAGAATATTTGCGGGTGAGCAGCGGCAGCCAGACGCGCCAGGATACACTCAACCTGGAAGTGACACCCGGAAGTGACATTGTGTACGTAAAAACTTGCAGGATAGCCAGATATACCTCAGATTAGCTTGGAAGAGCGTTTAGGCCTTCACATGATATTAAAACGCAGAAGTTGGGATTTTTTTCCCAAAACTACTGGCATAGCAATACTCAGTTTGCCGAGAAAATAATGCTAATTTTGAGGGTCTAAACACAATGGAAACTCATGAGTTTTCACACACATCAGACTTGACAAAATATTGACTATTTTATGAGTTCATTTTTTTCAGTCCAACTAATTGCTTTGTTGTTTGTCTCAACATATGCCCTGCGACTGACTGGCAACCAGTTCAGGGTGTCGTCTGTCGTCTGCCCAAAGTCACCTGGGATAGGCTCCATAGACATTTCTGTATGTCTTGTGGTGCTACACGTGCCTGCCAAGTCTCGTAAACCTTTGTCAAACGTCCCGGGATTTGTTTTTGATATTTTGCACTCAAGGTGGCACTGCAGAGCCTTAGTTTACGACAACATCAAAATTTTTACCAGTGCCGATGATTATGTGTGGTAAGTTTTCGTGCATGATTAGGTCCCAAAAAATGTGATTCATTTTTGTGGAAAAACAAAAAATTTTAATCATAATAATATGTTTCCTGTGATTGTCTGCCTTTCGCCCGAAGTCAGCTGGGATAGGCTCCAGCCCCCCCGCGACCCTGTTCAGCAGAAGCGGTGTTGAAAATGGATACATCAGTGGTCCTCAACTAGAAATGCTGTAGGTCCACTTTTTTTTTTTTTTTTTTTTTTTTTTTTTTTTAATAAGACCAAGGTCCGGTCCCATGCACAGCGGTCATGGGGAGCAGGGCTATATGCCCATTTAGTATGGTCAAGCCAAGCTTAAACAAATCAACACTCCTCACAACCAACCAACAATGGGGTGCATGAAAATAACAATGATTCACTTTGCCAGTACACAGCAAATAATGAGAGGTATTGTGTTCAGGCACAGATACTCTTTTATTTTTTTAAGTTGTGCCTGCTTAATAATAAAAATAGCCGTTCTAGGGAAATAAGACATTTTTACTTTAACTTTGTGAAACAGTAGTTGTCTTTTTTTCCCCTTAATTTAACAAAAACAAAATACTCATTTTACCAAAATAAATACTAAACATGAAAACAAAAATATCCTTTTCATTTGTACAGTTGCGGTTTTCTGCTGTTAAACAGCTGCAAAGATCCCCGGGTAGACGGGAGCAAAACTGCACACAATCGAAACCTCCCACGATTCGTCTTGTCTTATTGTCTGTGTGCGGCTCCGTGTGAGGCTCTCCTGGACTGAAGCTGTGAGCACACTGTGGCGTCGCGCATGCGTCTGTTTCCTGACACAATCATCCATTTTGAATGCGTGTGTATTGGGATAGACGCGTGCTGACGCTTATGTATGGGCACACCTTAAGTTCAGAGGAGCCAATCAGCGCATCGTTATCGCCGACATGCCCTGCTCAGCCAGGGTCTCCAGTTAGTCAAACATTATACAACACACAGTCGCGCTGCTGCGGTCCTCTGCAATACATCTGTTAGTGCACGCCAAGAATACAACGGATAATTTTAACAAGCGATCGCGGTAATGCGCAGATTATAGTCCACAAATATAAAATGTATAACGTAAAAATCATTTTATAAATTATTATTTTATACAATTTGCCGAGGGTCCGGACAGAGGACGCGGTAGTGGATCGCGGTCCGCCAGTTGAGGCAGGGGAAGTCCGAGGTTTAGAGAGTAAACACGAATGGAGCCAGGACAGTCCCCTGCGGCGCCCCGCACCTGTTTTATCACCTGTTTTAACAAAATCAGTGTCCTTTTTTCTTCGTCTTCTTCTTCTTCTTCTAATTATTATTATTATGTTGTAGTTGTCATTATTATGCCACTGAATCACATTTTTGGAGACCTAAACATCCAGAAACACCAAATCTTGCACTTATCGGGCCTGGTGAAAAGTTTTATATTTTAAAGTTGCTAGTGTTAATAGTGAAAACAACAAAGTCCAATTCCGCTATGTTTGACCAAGGCTTATATTGGCAGGCACGTGTAGCATGCTGAGAAAACTTGAAATGTGCGTTGTGTGTTTTGCAAAATGTTGCTGTGGCAACACACAGTTTGCCAAGAAAACTGCTAATTTTGAGGCGCTAAACATGTAGGGAAACTCATGACACTTTGCAGCCACCCCAGGCATGGTAATATCACCAATATTGTTTTACATTTATTGTGCAATTCTTAAAAAAAAATGCATCACCTAGATATTTTTTAAAAAGTAGCCTTGGTTGTACATTCCACGTGTATCTACGAAAATTTGGTGTTATATTTAACAAGACTTACAAAAAAGTCTCGAGGAGCCATAAACCGAACAGAAACTGAGCCATAAAAATCAATCAATCAATCAATTAATTTGAGACCCATTTTGGCTGTTTATTGGGGTCACATTTTAAATGAACCCCTCTTCCGACTGTCTTGACACTGTGGTTCTTTCAGATTAAGATGTTCAAGTAGACAAGGAAAAACAAAGCTTTTTATTTCGCCAAACGATGTTGCCGTGGCGATGCACTGTTTGCAAAATTATGCTGATTTTGCTGGTCGAAGACACAGGTATCAAACTCAAGTTTTTTCTTCGAGATGTGGCCCACCACATCATTTTATGTGGCCCGCAAAATCAAATCAAACATGTCAACTCAACTCAACTCAACTGTATTTATAGAGCACTTTCAAACAACCATCGCTGCATACAAAGTGCTGTACATGGAGCAATTCAACATATACAACAAACAGTAAAGCAAATCGGTAATAAAAACTGTAGAAAGCACAGAACAGCAAAACCAAGAACAAATCTATGTCATGCTGAGTCAAATGCCAAAGAATACAAGTGAGTTTTGAGGCGGGGTTTGAAGATGGGCAGCGAGGAGGCTTGTCGAATGTTCAGTATGTCAATCTCTACCATGATTGCCAAAATCTGTATCAAAATTGCAACTTCTCATCTGTAATAAGTAAAGAGAGATATTGTAAGCATTTTCTTGTTACCAAACCCCTGATTACAGTAACTTAAACAATTGATGAATCAACCGTTATTCTTGACTTCTTTAAATGCTTTCAGAGTCATAACGGCCCTCCAAGTACAGTCACTTCAATGTGACCTGTGACAGAAATGAGTTTGACACCCCTGGTCTCAGCATTTGTCAACGCATGAAGCTTGACAAAATAATGATTATTTTGTTTGCAGTTTTAATAAAAATGTCTGAGCAGCACTCCGTAAATGCTGATCTGTCACAGCTCGTGTTTATGAAATACTTGGCACAAGAAATACTGGGTCAGTCAGGAGCCCTGTAAAAAAACAGTAGTTTTGCCGATCACATGATTGCATTTCTGGAATCACAATCCAAAAATGATAAATGATTCAGACCGATGCACTTTTCACTTTTTGAACACAGATACTTCCACTCGTCTAGGATTCAAACCATCACACTACCTTTAACGTTAAAGTTAGGAGGGCCCGCTGAAGGGCCCTCCATCATCTGTCAAAACAAATCGCTGATTTACCTCCTCAGCAAGGTATATGTGTGAACATGTTAGACATCTTTTAAAAGCTGAGTTTCTAGAGATTTGAATGGTACCCTACATGTTACAATTGTCAAATTTGAACTGCAACTTGGGGAGACCTCAAGCTTTGATCATATAGTGTTTTCAAGTCCTAATCAACATTCTAAATCCATTTTCAAGGCAGATATTGTGATGTTTTCGAACATCCATAGTTCAGTGACATGAGCACTTACACAAATTCTTACTGTATGGGAGAAATATTCATAACGTGACATTTTGTATCTTTCAAAAAGTGACCAAAACTATGCTGATACTCCAAATGTTTCAAGTATACCTAAACATTGACTTTGGGTGCACCTTTCCACAGGCGTTTTCGGCAAAGTTGCCCTCGGTTTAAGGGGTTAACCCTGAACGATTTCTTGATTACTGTCATTGTTCGCACCTCTCACGTACATTTCCCCTGTGTAGTCTCATTCGTCCGTGGAGCGAGCAGGTCTGATTGGAGGCGTGATGATGAAGAAAATCCCGACGGACAGCACTTATGCTGTCACTGGTGATACGCTCAAGAAAATTGTAGAAAAGGACAAAGAAGCGGGACTCATCCCTTTCTACGTAAGACACACACATCTAAAGTTGATGTTTGGCCTAATGTTTTCCTCATGTTGCTCAACCACTTACTCAGTTGACAGTCGCAATGTGCCTGAGATGCCACCACGTGTGGAAAGCTGTTTGAGCATTTATTCAATATCCTTGATATCCAGTTTAAGATTCATGTATTAGTATGGTCTTCGTCCTCACAAATAAGACGATTGACCATATGCACAGCAACACATTAAACACGTTATTTCTGCTGGCATAACAGTTTCTCTCCGCTGTTAATACGTTACAAGCTGCTGGGTATTGGACTGGGGTCATGTTATGCCATCCATTTATCCATCCGTTTTCAACACCGCTTATGTTGTTCAGGAGGGCGCAGTGGTGTAGTCTACACTACCCCCTAAACTGGTCGCCAGTTAGTCACAGGGCATGTATAGAGACGAACAATCATTCACACTCACATTCGCACTGGCACTGAGTGGAAGTCAACCTACACTGCCTGTGCACAAGTCAGGTGAGGGTACTACGACAAAATCAGTGACTAGGCTATTTTGTGTTGATGATAGTTTGGTGCTCAAACTTTTCAAGGTTGAAATGGTATCAAATGTTAATACTGTTAGGTAAGATGAAAGCCTCTATCCCACCAAGCAGCAAACAATGGCAAACTGTTTGTGAGGGCAGCGAATATTGCATTCTCATCAGGGTTCGCACAATGTCACAAATATTGGCCAAATGGTCGCCAGACATTCACCTCGACTTTTCTTGTCGCCAGGGAATTTTGAACGTGTTCATGGGAAGAAATCTTGAGCTCAGTCGGTCGATTTAGGGCAGTGATCACCAAACTTTGTGAGAGTGAGAGCGACTTCTTTTGTACTGATTAGTGCGAAGGGCTATGAATTTGAAATACACATCTGCAAGAACAAATTTGCTCAAATGACCTGATATAATATTAGGATGTTAACTTTAATAGTATTACTAGGATATTATTGGAAATGAATTACATTTTCTGACACTGATTATGTTCATGAGAAACACATCATTATTTGCAATTGTAATGGAAATTTGACATCAAACAGGGCTAAAATGTAAGTAACTGTTCATACCATTGAATGCTGACCAGTTATTTTGCAGATAAGCAAAGTTGCCTGCTCATGCACTCGACTGCATTCTGTGTTGCTGCTCAAAATGCTGATTGTGCTGACCTTCAACCCTCCCAACGAGATAAAAAGAGAGCCTGAGACTCAGGGGGAGAAGGCTCCCTTGACAGATCTGTGAACGGTGTCTTTCCATGTTTTTTTCTCCAATAAATCTCATCATTTTTGATAATACTTGTTGTCTTGGTTTCCCTGGACAAGACACAACACTTTCTTTTATCCATAAATCTAATATTTAAATGATAATTTCAACACCATTGTGAAAAAAATCACAATATTCCATTACCGCCGAGCTATTTATAGCTCTGTGGTCCTTGCCGGAGACTCGGTGCTGTGATCAAGTGTGCATCAGAACTGGTCTGGTTGCAGGAGAACAAAATTTGATATATATATTTTTTTTAATTCAGGAGTAATGGTTAAAATTGCACAATTCAGAGGCCTCTTATTTTAAAATGCCACATCAGATCTTAATGAAAGTACCTTGGTTGGATACCTGGGGTGGCCTAGTGTGCCGGTTAGGACTGATCTGGTTGCGAGACAATGAAAATAAAAATTGTAATGATTTTTTTTTAATTAGCTTGTCCTCACAAGGGTGGCGGGGGGTGCTGGAGCCTATCTCAGCCATCTTCGGGCAGTAGGCAGAGGACACCCTGAACCGGTTGCCAGCCAATCGCAGGGCACACAGAGACGAACAACCATCCGCGCTCACACTCACACCTAGGGACAATTTAGAGTGTTCAATGAGCCTGCCAGGCATGTTTTTGGACTGTGGAAGGAAACCGGAGTACCCGGAGAAAACCCATGCAGGCCCGGGAAGAACATGCAAACCCCACATAGGGAGGCCGGAGCTGGAATTGAACCTAGTACCTCTGCACTGTGAAGTCGACGCGCTAACCACTGCTACCCTGGGCCGCCGTAAAGAGGCCTTTATTCTTCAAAAAACATTAGAGCTTGAAGTCCTTTGGTTGGATACAGGGGATGGTGTAGTTTGCCCCCAAATGTGGTGTGGTGGCGGTAAAATGAAAATTTATATTTTAATGATTTTTTTTTTTTTTCAACAGGTGTGAAGGTCAAATTTGCAGATTTCAGAGGCTCTTTATTTTTCAAAATCAACACTGGGTTGCCCAGTGTGCCCTAGAACTAGTCTGGTTGTGGAATAACAAAGTTTGAATTTAAATATATGTTTTAAAATCAGGTAGAAAGGTAAAAATGGCAGATTTCCGAGGCGTTTAATAAAAAAACAAAAAAAAACAAAGGCAGATCTTAATGAAACTATGTTGGTTGAATACCCCGGGTAGTTTAGTAGGCCCTAGATCTGGTCTGGTTGGGGGAGAATGAAATTTGAATTTTTTATGATTTTTTTATTCATTCATTTAAATTTTTTAGTAATTGATGCAGATTTAACATTAACCTCTCATTCTAATCCAACTTCAGAAGATTTTTGGGTGCAATCCTGAGACAGCTCGCACTCTCCTTAGGTGAACTGGTTGCTTGTTATTTATGACATTATTTTCAATCCAAACCACTGAGGTGCATGCATGAGTTGTTCAGCTTTTACTTTGAAAGTGGGCAGCGTCGCTGGCAGTGGATTACAGGAATGCAAAGTATTAACAATCACTCTGGCTTGTTTTCCGTTTGGAGGCTGGCCTGAGCAGTTTTCTTTTGGTTTGGGTGGGCGCAAAATCCCTGATTTGTGATGATTTTTGTGAGTCGAAAGAAACCTTTTCCGACCTTTCCTCCTGCCAACAATAACACACGTACAAATCATGACAAATGGCAAATGACACTTTGTTAGTGGGGCAAGCTTATCAGTATCAGAATCAGAATCATCTTTATTGGCCAAGTATGTAGAAGACACAAGGAATTTGTCTCTAGGAGCGGGGGGCATGAGGTTCCGTCAAGGGGGCACGTTTGACCTCGGGGAACATGCTTTTTTAAGTTTTTTATTTAGATTTTTTTTTTTTTTTACTGTCCTAGAATAGAGTGCACTTGCACCTCCATGGCATTAGGTGGCAGTGGCGCTCTCATTGGCAGAGTGTGGGCAGGGAGCATTCGAAGGGAGGAAATATGACGAAGCGTATGTAGTGCTTGGCTTCACTGTGACTATGGTGGGAGACGAGGAAAGACCGGTGTGCTTACTGTGTCTAAAAATGTTGGCAGCGGACACCATGAAGCCAAATAAATTAAGGCGTCACTTAAAGACATTACACCCCAATGACGCTGATAAGCCCCTTGAGTTTTTTTCAGCGAAAACGTGCCGAATATTGCCCGCTTTGTGACTGCTACTTCAATAAACTAAAATACAGGACCCAGCTACACATTGAGCAAGAGCTGAGAGTTGCTGTGTCCTGCTTCCAACCTCGCTTCGAAAAGCTGGGCATTGCAAAACATGCTCATTGTAGCCATTAATCCAGACATCAACTTTGATTAAAAAAAAAAATCAGCACAAATTATATATTTTTGTTTTGCAGGTTAAAGATTTTTTAATATTGTGCTCCTGATTTAATGTTGGTGAGGAGTTTGAATGCATTATTTTTTGGTTTTATGTAATTTTAATTCCCAGTATCGTATGGTTTGACATGGTCAGTCGAAAAATGTTTCCAGTTTAATATAGGATTTAATTTTTTTTTTAATTTCACATGCACTTTAAATCTTTTCTATTACAGTTAATATTTCTTATAAGTTGGTCCATATTTCTTTTTTTATTCCCTTAAACGTTAATAAGGATCCAGTGTTATGTAGAGGTGTACTTATAACAATTTTATAGAGAAATACTATTTAAAGTCACGTGGGGGGACGAGATGTTTTTTTCTTCCTGGGGGGGCATGACAGAAAATAATTGAGAAGCACTGCCCTAAAGTAAGGCTACCATTGTGCAGTAGTAGTAGAAGAAAAACCTTTATTTGTCTCACAATGAAGAAATTAGCAAAAAAAAAAAAAATGAAAAGGAGAAAATAGAAAAAACAAAACAAGTATTTGCATGCAGAAAAAGAAACATTTAAAAAACATTAAAAATGGACTGAACCCAGTACTGGGTGAAATATAAATATACCGATAAGCATATACAGTATATGTGTCACGTTGCGAGGTGGTGGTGGACCCCAAAAAGCAGGCAAGAGGGAAGAGCAGGTTGTACTTGAAGAAGTGTATTGAAACAGAGAAAACTAAATCCAAAACAAACATAGTCCAAAGTAGCAAACAAAAAGCACAACTGAAGCTAGAACAGAACTGTGACCAAAGCATGACTGAAACAAACCTGACAGCAGCAGACAAACGGCAACAAACAAACACGACAGTAGCAAAGAGCAACGATGACCCGACAATGAGTGGTTGGGCTGGGAGTCCTTTAAAAGCACTAATTACCTAATGACCAACAGGTGTGCAGCTGCAGGGGAAGCCCTACAGTGCCACCTGTTGGTCCCAAACCGAATCATGACAATATGCATATGCAAAAGTGGCTGTTCTATTTAAAATGGGTGAGTGTGTGTGTGCAGATTTTCACATGTGTTTATTCAACAGCCTGACAATAGTTGGCAGGAACGAGCGGCGGTACCTCTCCCTCTTGCAGCATGGGTGTATCAGTCTCTGGTCGAAGGAGCTGCCCACTGCTGTCAGGGTGGCCTGGAGGGGGTGGGTGGGTCTGTCCATCATAACTGTTAGCTTATCTAGCATCCTCCTGTTGCCTACCTCCTTCAGTGTCCAGGGAGCAGCCCAGGACAGAGGTGGCCCTCCTGACCAGTCAGTCCACTCTCTCCCTGTCCTGGGCTGAGCTGCTGCCTGACCAGCATGCTATGCCATAGTGAATGGCTGAGGCCAATGACAGCCCAATGACTGCTGTGTGAATATGTGCAGAGTCATCGAGCAAAGATAATGTGATCAGTGGTGCAACACAATACTATGGCAGCTGTGCAGTTGGTGCAGTCATCATTTTTTTATGTGACCAGTCGCAGCAATTGTAGTCCAACTTTGGGTGTGCAATTATACTGAAAGTACTTGAGCGCTTTAAAATGTCTGGTGCTGTGGAATATCGATCAATGACAATTGTTCAAGTATGCAAAGAGCTGGAGCTACAATGATCACTGAAGTAACACTGTTCCACAGGGCTGTGCAAAAATGCAAATCCTTTTTTGTGGTGGCCCCAAACCAGACTGTGATAGAGGAAGACAGGACTGATTCGATGACTGCTGTATAGAACTGTCTCAGCAGCTCCTGTGGCAGGCCGTGCTTCCTCAGCAGCCTCAGGTAGTACATCCTATGCTGGGCCTTTTTCAGGATGGAGTTAATGTTGGCCTCTCACTTCATGAGAGATGATGATTCTCAGGAACCTGAAGGTCTTTACGATTGACACAGGGGAATTGGATAGTGTGAGGGGCATCTGTGGTAAAGGATGTTTCCTAAAGTCCATGATCATCTCTGCAATCTTGAGCGTGTTCAGCTCCAGGTTGTGTTGGCTGCCACTTATCCCTTTTTGATCGCTGCTATCCAATTACGTCTTGGTTCTTCTTTTGGCAGCTTGGAAAATGCTTGTCTCTTATTTTGTCCCCTTTTGCTGGTGCACAACATTTGTCTGTCATTGTCAAAGTGTGGTGTTTGCATTTACTCAAATTAGCGACATATTTTATCCTGCCAAGTGGTGCTGTTTAATTTTGGAGCAGTTCATTGTGGAATGTGATATGTTCACGTCTGGAGCTCGATTCCTATTCTTAGTAACCAATAGACTTGCTGACTGTAGCGCCGAACTTCTTTACCAATTCTTTTTCTTCTCTTTTTTCTTGTGGCCGGGGGCCTCGGCCAGCCCCTCGGACCACCAGACCGACCAGTCCCCAATGGGATCCACTGGGGGAAACTCTTCCCTGTTGACTAGCCTGCCCCGCCTTCACACCTGATCAAGCAAGTAGTGATGATGGGCAGATCGATCCAAATATCGATAATATCAATACCAAGTCAATATTCATATTGGATCGTTACTTGAGCAATGCAATCAAACTATTGTGTCAGTTTCACTCCCCAATACACCAATGCCGGTTTGTCAAACAGCCAGCCCCCGGCAGACATAATTTGCTCCCCCACCCCACTCTTCTTGTGAATTTGCAGAGCAAACAAGCAAGCCGTCTGCTCGGATCTGCCCGCCCACACATACACACACCTAATGCATAAGTAAAAAGTTCACAAAAAACTGCAACCAAAATATTTGTTCTGCATATGATGGCTTCTTCTTTTTAACTAAGGCTTTGGGGATTGTTTAAATGTTTACATTTAATTTGTTATATTTTCACTTTTTTCTGGATTTCCTGAATGTACATTGAAAGTTTTGGTTTCCTCAATGTTTTATCAAATATTTTGTGAAATGACAATCTTGAACAACTTTTTTGGGGTTATGGATAAAATTGTGAAAATTCAACGGAAGGATAAATTACATTTTTGGATGTTCGTTTCTGAACAAAACCTAGGAAAAAGAATTATTTTTCTGCTGGTCATTTTGTGCACTTTTTTAAGAACAAAATCCAGACATTGCTCATGTGGGGATAAAGTATAATTTCATACTTGCCAGTAAAATTATAACAGGGCGCCCCGGTAGTCGAGTGGTTAGCACGTTGACTTCACAGTGCAGAGATACCGGGTTCAATTCCAGCTCTAGCCTTTCTGTGTGGATTTTGCATGTTCTCCCCGTGCCTGCGTGGGTTTTCTCCGGGTCCTCCGGTTTCCTCCCATATTCCAAAAACATGTATGGCAGGCTGATTGAACACTCAAAATTGTCCCTAGGTGTGAGTGTGGGCGCGAATGGTTGTTCGTTTCTGTGTGCCCTGCGATTGGCTGGCAACTGATTCAGGGTGTCCCCCGCCAACTGTTCGAAGACAGATGGGATAGGCTCCAGCACCCCCCGCGACCCTAGTGAGAATCAAGCGGTTCGGAAAAACGAATGAATGAAATTACAACAAAGCTTTTCACCCATCCATCCATTTTCTAATAAGCTTATCCTCACGAGGTTCGCTGATGTGCTGGCGCCTATCCCAGCTGTCTTCGGGCAGTAGCTGGGGTACACCCTGAACTGGTTGCCACCCAAACGCAGAGCAGAAACGAACAACCATTTGCACTCACAGTCACACCTAGGGACAATTTTGAGTGTTCCTTTAACCATCCATGCATTGTTTTGGAATGTGGGGGGGGCGGGGGCGGGGGAATTTTTTTTGGGGGGGGGACAGGAGTACCCAGAGAAAACCCACACAGGCACGGAGAAAACATGCAAACGCAACACAGAAAAGCCGGAGCCGGAATCGAAACCTGCACCTCTGCACTGTGAGGTGGACATGCTAACCAGTCGACCACCGTTCCGCCCAAACTTAAAGTTGAAAATCAAAATATCAAATAAATGCTCAAAGGGCTTTCCAGAACCATACACACGCCAAGGTGTTTTTCCAATGGTAACAATGTATCAAAGTGTGTTAACTTAGTCCACAAAGTACCAATGTTATTCAGGAGTTTTTGTGTTTATTATGGCTGTGCAGAGTAAAAATATTAATCCAATGCTTTAAATGACAATAATAACAAGAAATTATCATTGTCGTTTTATTTCATTTTCATTGTGTGTGTTGTAGTTCTGTGCAACGCTTGGCACCACTGCATCATGTGCGTTTGATCATATTTCGGAGCTGGGGCCAATATGTAAGTCACCATAAAGTAATTACACTTAAATTAATGACTTTACAAATACCTTTTCGTTTTTATTGCCTCTCTGCAACACATTTCATAAATTTTCCAAAGCTAAAGATGTCCAGTACAAGAGCTATTTGTTTCTGTCACAGAGGTATTGATGTTGTATATGCACTACTACCGTATATTTAACTAAATTTGTAATGATAGATTTATAAAGCTTCATACTGCTTTTTATCCGATCAGATGAGAATGTGTGAGTGTACCTAATACCATTACCTTGTGTTATTATTGAAGAACAAGTAAAGACAACAAATACATGTGATCAATAATGTTGTTTGTTGGCTGCTGCAGGTAATGAGCAGAACATATGGATGCATGTTGATGCTGCGTATGCTGGGAGTGCATTTATCTGTCCTGAGTTTCGGCCTTTGTTGAATGGCATCGAGGTATGTAAAAAAAAAAAAAAGAGAAATCAAACAAATACATGCTTTATACACCATCTGGTCACATCATTGACCACTTGCACTATTCAATGAAGTCCATTACAAGAGCTGTGTCTAAAATGTCGCCTTTATCAAGACACTCATGTTAGTTTTGACCGACACTGTTATTAACATTACAATGGGACAACTGCATTCATTGCTTATGCCTAGTCATGTTTTTGCTCCTTTCCCTGATGTTCAATAGGATTTAGAAGGACAATTTGGAATAGTCAAATGAATTGCTCTTAGCCAATCTGAGATGTTTTTAGCTGTATTTTGGGTCAGTATCCTGTTGCAAAACCCATTACCTGTGACTGAGACCAGGCTTTTTGACTCCTTTAATAGTCTTGAGATTTCATTGTACCCTGCACCAATTCAAGACAGCAAGTGCCAGATGTGCATTTGTTATTTTACAGCGTACTTTTTATTAGCACTTGACTAAAGTTGAAGTACAGCAGATCAGTGCTGATCTTGAACAGTCATGACAGAAAATCCAAAGTCCCACCAGTCCAAGAACCAGACAAGACCAAGACTTTTGGAAGTTGAGTTGAACACAAGACCTTTGAAATGTACTCTGGAGGTCGGTCTTGAGAGAAAGTCCTCACTGCAAATGCCTACCCCAAAAATAAATTATATTGTTAAATTGTTGCATTTTCTGACAGAAATCATCAAAATTGAGCATTAGTGTCTTTGGGGGGGAAAAAGATGTTTGGATGCAGATCTTTAGATCAATATAAGTGAATATTGTGAACAATACAAGTGAAAGCTTTCTTCCATTGGGTCTTTTTTTGTAACAAAAATGAAACATACTTCAAATAAAGAAATACCTTTAAAAATGTCAACACAAATTTCGTCATCTTACAGCGTGAAACTAAGTCATGAAAAGAAAAACAGAAACACCGGGCCCCTTTTTTTTTAAACAAGCTTTTTGCACGAATTTCTCCACACAGTCAAGCAAAAAAAAAAATATAT